TACACGGTTGCACTGTGTTCCACTTATACTTATCTGTCAACTAAGCTTTCTGTTCATCACTGTAAATGGTCTATGCGTACCTTTTAGGATTCAAGTGTAGTTTGAGGTTTGTGTGAACTCCATTTTCCATGTACTACTCACTATAGACTCGCATGCGCTGAGGAGCCATTGAAACCACAATGTACAGGATAGCTGTTTTGACCTAGTATATACCCACGACCCCACCCACCAGGAATCGAACCCAGGACCTTCTGGTTTCATGGCGAACCCATTAACCCTTCAGCCAGCAAGTAACAGTTCAATGGTCCATAGCTTCTTACTTCTTTCAGTTCGTCATATAGTGCGACTATCACCCAAGGTCTATAGATGGGGGATCCGCTTCACTTCCGACTAGTTGACCCCACAAGTCAAACCTTTTCATTAGAACTTCAGCGTGTCATTAATGAGCATCATGCAGTAATGCAGCTCCAGGCTATATAGTGAATTGCTGGAAGTAAGAAACTGTGAACCATTGAATTTAGACCCAGTAGCTGATTGATTATCGCGTTTGCCGCGAAGTCTGAAGACGCTGAGTTCGTTAGAATCGTTCCACATTTCATGTGCTGGTTACTCTAGGGGTACTGAATGATTTTTTGGTATTTTGTCAATGAATTTTTCATGCTGCCCACCTCCTCCACCATAGTTGCTTAAGCTGATATCAGAACCAATTCGTCACATCCATCAAGTATAGACAATCTCTAGCTCTTATTTCACCCACAATGTATATATAATACGTCTAAATTGATAGGGATAAAATTTTTTTTTTCTATTTTTCTGTCTTTTTAAAAATTCCCATTTTCATTTATTGATGATAGTAGTAATGTTGTAAAATAGATAAGTTAACTTCTCCTCTCATATACCTCCTTTTCATTTAACGTGACCTTTGTATTTCTTTCGATGAAGAGAAACTTTCATATTGGGAAGCACATAAATTATATTTTCATCATCATCATCATTATCATCTTTGTGTTTTCCAGTGTGTATGTACCGTCTGACTATATTGATGAACATACAATATATGTGTGTATGTATGCGTGCTATATACATCGCATTCTCTTGTGAAATCTTTCTTCTGACATTTTTATACTTTAACACTTGTATATTGTTCATTTATCATTGTTATACACATATACGTATGAGAGCTTTCGATTTACGCTAACCGAGCACACTTATAATGTGTGAAATATGCGTCGTCGGTGTCATCATCATGATCCTCTACATCCGTATCGTCAATATTTTATCGTATGTCTCAAAAGACTGTAGTGAGATAGAGAGAGAGTAGTGGTACTAGGCTAGTAGCAGCGGCAGCAGCAGCAGCGGTGTAGTACTTACTACCACGATTACTTACACTTTTTCATCATGTCCTGTTGAAAGATTTCCCAAATTTTTATCATTAATCATTAGACAAGACAGCATAATACAATACACTGTGTTGTTTGTTGTCCTACCCCGAACAGAATGTGTTTATGCACTCATGCATATTTTTTTATTATATAAATTCAAGGATTAATCATCGCTTCGAGTATTGTCGACAACATTTTGATGATTACAATGTGTTATGTCATATAGTAGTAGTAGTGTAGTGGGTGCTACTGATAAGAATGAATATAAGTAGTATGTGTAGAGAGGGTGGTAGAAGTTACTGGCAATTACGAGCGATGGGTAAACATCCTGCCCAGAGAAATGCAAGAGATCAATGTGGGCATATGAAGAACAAATCGAGAAGAAGAGGAAATGGAACACATTGTGTGAATGACTATTTCAATGGAAAGTGTACAATATTTCACCGTTACCTATACAAAATATCGTAATCAACATTCCTAAGTAAGTCAATAGAATCTCGATAGTAACAACTCATTTCAGGATAGCTTAATAGGGTAGGAAATAATTTTAAGACAGTTATTTCATATCAAACCCAGTGTTGTCTAATTTTAAGCCTTCATCTACAGTTTCAACATTGATGTATATTTTGAAAACACTCTTTGTAGAAAATTCTATCGATTAGTATCTGTCAAGACTTTATCCACTAATAATAATACCTTCTATATCATCATGTGTAGAAATCGTCTTCACTTATATCTCATGTGTACCAATAGTTCGAATCCTGCTGCTACTTAGATTGTTAATTATCTTCAAGCAGTTAACCAACCTCTGTAGGAGTTTAGGAACTATACTTTGCATCGTATCTGATGTGTTGAGAACTTATGATGTTATCCCATCCTTAAGTCTAAGTGTAGAGGTACTGGTAAGCGTGCAAGTGGCTAACACTTCCCGGCTCCCCACACCGTGTAAGGTTATTTCTTCCTAAGGTATCTAAAAGAGAGCCCATGGAACATCTGCTTGAGACCTATCACATACAGCCTTTTAAGGATTGTTGTTATGAAATGTGACTATTTTATCACTGGAGGGAGAAAAGCCATACTCCCGGCACCGGAAGACTCGTAGGGCAGAGAGAAGAGTGTACTACTTTCGGGGCTAACCTCTTCTTAGTCCTCCTGTTTCCGTAGGTAAGGGTACATCAGTGTTGCAGTGCTGGTCATCCCAGAGAAACACCTTACTGCTGTCACACCCCACCCAGCTAGCAATAGTGTGACTTCACTCTCGGACCCCTATCATAGTGTAGCAATTGAAAAATGGCGTTCTGTATAACTTCTGCAATAAATTATCCAATGATTCGAACGTCTTTCCGCTTACGGAGATCTATATGGCTGCATAGTATCGAGGTGCACATAAAGTAAATCATATAGCTTACAGCCTAGTACATAAGGAGAATTATTAGCTGACCATAAATAGAGATGTATATTCCATTCTTGTCTTTCTTCTCCTGTCATAGATATGTAAAGCGAACAATGTAGGGTTAGTGTGTAGAGTGTTAGATAGGGAAAATAAGTTAATCAATTAGGTTCTGCATTTGCCTGTTTGTTGGGTGCATATCCTCCTCATTTAAGGGTTGATGGTGTTACCTAACTGTCTGTGAACGTGATTCGCTAAACCGGTTGTTTGGACCTGTTATTTGCAATAAAGTACTTGAGTCAACAATTCGGGGACATCAGCATAGTGAATAGGCAGATTGTATTGAGGTGTCCGCTTAGGAGCCCATCTACCAACAGAGGTTGGATATTTCGACTTTGTATAGCAGCGGGGAATGACAAGTATCTATGAGCAATAACTAAAAAATGTTCCACAAGAGGTGGCCTAGTGGTTAACGTATGAAGCGGTGGGCACTATGTTCGAGTCCTAACGGGCCCAACACCACTCACTGGAGTGCATGTACATCCAGCTGATGAATCCCATGTAGGACGAAAGGCGCATTTCGGGTTCTACTGCGAGCCACTGAACATACAACTTTCAGCCCCAATTATTTCATTCAAACTGATTACTAATGTTCTACCTCCGAAATTTTTAACACTTCACAGTAGTATATGAAGAACAAGTAGATGGAAAATGACTGATATCAGAGTGGACAAAGATGCATGAGAGGATAAACAGTTTGAAGATAAAGATTAGTTCATATATTCAAGCTTTAGAAGATATCAATGGGTGAATACATCTGCGACATTATGACACATTCCTCGTCATGTCATGTCTTAACCACTGATTCCTTTAATTTCGTGAACCCCAGCCAAACAGGCAGTCTACACCTCTTTACATAGCTCAAACCAACAGTCAGAGACTTCATAAACTGGTGCCATGTGCTAGTCTGGCCACCTTTAACTCTCTTCTTACCTAATCCAGCTTCCCTTTGCATTGCATATCGAAATAGGCGATGTCATGTCGTGCGCTGTACATGTCCAAGACATCTCAGTCGACTAAGGTTGACAACTTCATCAACTGTCTTGCCTTTCTTGTATACGCCTAATTGAGTTACAGAGTCTCATCTTTTCACAGTCTCATGAAGCATATTTTTCTGTTCACATATACTCAATATCCTGTCAAGTAGACAGACGAGATTACTGATGTCTTGTCGAGTGTCAACAAGCACAAAACCTAGATCGATCAGAGCTTCTTGTCGATTGTCTCCATCTGATTAGTTTCTAGCACAGTACACTTTAATGATAAGCCTTCTACGTAGGTAGTCACATTACAAAGTGATTGGTAGAATTCGATCGGCACTTAGAACTAAGCAACATGAAGTTGGTTCGCCTCCAGCGACCAGTCAATTTACTTAATCCAGTCCTACAGGAAGTCAGTTGGTGACGTGGATTCGAATCTCAAATGAGATATCAGTTACGTCTAGTTTGCAGGTACACCTTGCTGACGTGTGGCAGACAGCACGAAACTTGAGTCAAACTGATCTTCATGTCGATCACGTCAACGCAACTAGTATCTACTGATACAATCAAATTAGTAGTATAACTTTGATGAAAAAAAGTTCCAGGTTGGCACATCATTTGAAAGAGAGAGAGTCTTGTTGTTAGACAAATTCTCATATTCATACTTTTTCTCCAGATGAATTCACTGATTAACTTGTACACCTGACAATCTTGTACAACCAATGAAAATGTTTTGATTAGTAAAGATTTTTCACTCTAAATTACGTGGTGAATTCATCGAAATCATGCCACTTAGAGATTACTTTGAAGACTTTGTTGCACAACCTCTTAAGTGTTTTATATTTTATTGAATGTTTTCATTTCATTGTTGATAGTTTCAAATAGATTTTTGATTTGTGAATGAATAAATGTGACTATGTGTTGCTTCAATGTAAATATGAAGTTTCTTTCATAATGTCATCGTTGGTACTATATAATAATCGTTGACTTCAACACTACAGTATTCGATTTTAAAATTCTACCATTCAGCAAAGTGATACATGTTGATTTACCAGGCTGTAAGCGTAGATAGATTATTACAGATACTACAGAGTTTCCGGATAATTTTCTTTAAACCTCTATAAATGATACAATATTTTTTATCTTATTGTAATATTTTTCTATTCTCTTGTTTTCTCTTATCTTTAGACGTAAGAAAAAGTGTATTCGTTTCTTAACAGATGCTGAATTTGAAGAGGAGAACACTTTTCCTGTCTCACCGATTTCATCACCTTCTACACTGAGTAATTCCAAGAAGTTGACATCATCAGTAACAGTGACAACAACTGTAATGACGACAATGTCGTCAACAACCTATCAGCCTTCAAATCTTTCCAATTATTGCGTTTCAAAACAATTCTCCTCCTCTTCAAGTGAATCAACCTACAATTTCATGAGTGGATTACATTTGGATAGTAATAATAATAATAATAATAATAATGGTATTACTGGAACTACTACTACTACTTTAAGTAGTAATTTCTGGCCCAATTATACACCAAATATACATCACTCAATATTATCATCTAATGGCAATATATCATCAGAGAACACCAGTAAAAGTAATAATAATACTGATGGCTTAATTAGTGGTTCCTTACTAACCTACATGTCAAGAGGTTCGCATAATGTATCAGATCTCACTTCAGCGGTAACAGCAACAACAACACCATCAACATTGGTAACTGTATCCAGTGTATCTGATTTTTCTAAATCGAATGCTTCTTTAAGTCGGTCGGATAGATTTTGTGTTAATTCATTTACTCCAGCTATGTACTCAAATCTACCGCCTATTTCCTCAGAGATATCATCAAATTGGTCGTATAAAAATATTCTTAATGCAACTGTTCAGAATATTGGATCAAAATCGTCAACTGATGGATTACTGCCTCCATCATCATCATCATCATCATCGGCTACTAGTATTACTACTATGAAAAATACAGTTCTAATGAGATCGAATCCATTTCTGCATGAAAATATTACAACATGGTGTTGTTCTCCACCAGCGCCACCGTCATCTATTCTATCTGCATCGCATATTCCTCTTCCTGCACACTTTTCATCTCCAATTCATCTTCCATTATCATCATCATCAGAAGAGAATTTCGATGTGAATTATTGTTTATCTCCATTATTATTTTCTGATTTATCATCACATGCTGCTAAATTGTTAAACAGTAATCATGAAAAATTAAAGCCCAATATACTTGATCGTCATTGTAATCATGATAATTATTTGCATATATCACCTGTGTGTTGTTCCACTAATACTACTAATAATCCATTGTTGAAAAGTAGTATCGGTGGTGATAATGATGATGATAACAATCGGAATATAATTTCATTTAATATTAAGAAATGATTTTACTTTTTTCTTTGTTTTCCTCTTTCGTGTTTTATTTAATTTTTCTTTGTTTATTCCCTTTTTTTTCTGTTCGCGTATTTTTCACTTTTGACTTCATTACTGCAATAAACTGGTTTATCATCATTATTAATATCATTACTATTATTTTTTTAAATAATTTATTCTAGAGCATAATTTCGCCTCACCTCTCCTCCGCCGATATTTTATTCCTTGATGAGGATGCTGATGTCAACCTTGGTGATGATGGTCCTTTACCGTCTATCAGTTAATTTCCTTCAGTACACATACGCACACACACACACACACATGTCATCGTACACACTTACAACCGGTTTGATTTACAGCTCCTGTGTGTGTGTGTATGTGTTCAGTGTACTGTACTCAGCTGTCGGATGCAGTGTGGAATGAGATAACACTTTACTCTTGGTATTTATTTCCTATTAGGTTATGTTTATAAATTAGCGCCATTCTGTCTCTCATATGTGTGTGTATGTGTTTATATTCACTATTCTGTGATCATTCTCTCTCTCTGTCTCTCTTTATCTTCTTCACTGTCTCTGTTAGTGTATCTCACAGTAATAGTAATGATTTGATTAGGTTGTTCAGTTGACGACGACATTCTTTCACCTTCATCTGACCTTCAACCTCCCGACTGGCGTTATCATATTCTTTAATTTCTGTTTGTTTTTTATTCTTATACTTTTGTGCAGTATATTTTAAACTTTATCCTACTCATCAGTTGTCTGATTGTCGTATTGCTTTCTTCACCTCAACGCCTAATATCTTCTACCGATTGTATTGTGTGTGTGTATATGTTTATCTAGTATTTGGTGACACTGCTTACTCAAGTGTGCTCGACTTTCATACGGATCCTGATATTAATGAAGACAATAGATCAATTAATTTATTCCGAAAAAACCTTGATCAAACTGTTGATAGGCATAGGTGATAACTTTAAGCATTTTTGTGTGTGTGTGTGTGTATCTGTGTTCTCCTTTCCTTTCAATAATTGATATATACTGCTGACGATACAAAAAGTATCTGTTTGTGTATGCGTGCGTCCGAGTTTTTATGATTTCTTTTCTGTGTTCTAATTGTTTATTTTCTTTTCAAATTTATTTATTATTCATGTGTAAATAAACTCATTTCTCTTCTTCTATTCACTGTATCGCCTTTTATCCTGGTTACTGATGATTGGTTATTATTACCAGTATTGTTTTATCTGCATGGCACACTCTCTCCGGCTTCACATGGTATATTCCTTCATTTATCTATAGAATATTTTTGTGCAACTTGTGTTTCTGTCTTCTCTGATTAACTGTTCTCCTTTTTTTTTTCGCCTTCTTATCTTTTGTGTGTATGTGTGTGTATTTTGCATTCCACCAGATGGATGGATGCATGAGGCACTCTGACGCACACACTCACCTTGGTTTCCTTGCAATTTGTAATCATTCTTTTTTTATGCCATGGTGATCTTGAATTGATGATATGACTGTAGGCACATTTGTTCATTCACACACACACACACACAAAACACCTGTATGTATGTACACTAATCTTCTAACCGAGTAAAAATAGCCTTCACATCTTGTCTTTTTATGCGCATGGATTAGCACATATTGTCTCGGAAAACAAAGATACATGCTACAGTATATTGATGATAACGATGTTGTTGACGATTATGTGTAAGTAATAGTGTATTAGTACGGGTATTAATCTCTTCTGACTTAGACTTTTGTGTTTCTTTGCCCAGTATGCCCAAGATACGCATAATTATGGTTTTTTTAAAACTGCTGAAAAGAAATCACTCTTTGATCGTTGCTGTTATTATTTCCTTGGTCGTGTAATAACTTAATTAACATCAATGCGTGTGTGTTGGTATGGGACTTGATACGTCAGTTGCCTAAAACCTGCTATTACTTCCAGTACCTACGTTTACGCAAAATAGATAGATAGACTTGGCGAAAACCAAGTTACATTATTTACGGTGCTGCAATGATATCCGATTGTCTATTAAGTGTCGAGTGCACTGTGTTGCAGTTGGCTCTGTGTGGCTGTGAAATATGGCCATTAAAGTTAGAGGTTATGATAAGGTTTCAGGTGTTCAACCACCATCCCCCTCCTAGGATAGATCATGTGTTTTGGAACAACCATATCAGTAAAGTATAGGTCAGCGGTGTTGAGTTTCAGGCAGACGACTCAAATCAGTTGATGAGGTTTCCAAACTTTGGTGATTCAAATCCCCTGGATATTTGTTAGACATATCTAGTCGCCGTCTGCCCCATCGATCAATGTTCGTTGTTGCAAGTTTAGGCTGCAAAAAGTTTGAAGTCATCCAGACTGAATCGTGGTAATAGTCTATGGAGTCTTTGAGCGCTCGTCTGAGCTGTGTAAGGAGACTTAGAATTCCCGTTCACATAACTATCGGAAATGGCATTTGGAAACTCTTCATGACTTCCCTATCCTTCATCTCAGTGCATTTTCACTTAATATGCTGATATGAGGTGTGGCAAGTTGGGCCGTTGTACAGAAAGGCCAATTCCTGCATCGATGCTGACTATCGTAAACAGGTTGTGCGGGTAAATCCTATAACTAATCCGTGGATGAATTTTGTATCCGAGACACTTAATTCATATGCGAAATTGATTATCTAGATAACAAGCTTTCTATGCTAATGGAGGGGAAATATGTGATCAGAATATGCTGCCGGAGCCGTCAATTTTAGGCTTTCTCGTGACTGAACTGCAAGACTTCAACTACAAACTAGATTTCAATAAAGAAGAGTTTTGTCCACGGGAACAACTGATTCCTAATTGTTTCCTTGTCCTCACACTAGCTGACCGAATGGAAATCGAGACTAGGATAAAATTGGAGCCGGTAGAATTGCCAGGCTAATAATTTAGTGGTTACTGGTTCAACTCCTTAAGTTAGCATGCGATTCTATGTAGTTGTCATCTGTGTATATTATTTTACTCCCCTTAAAATATAATCTGCATTTTTGGTACATGTTATCCATTGTCTAATTTACAAACAATACTTTTCAGCTGGTTTTATTTATATGTTCTTTATGGTAATACTAAGTTGTTCGACAGAAATGACCGAAACAAGAGATAAAGTCTATTGTATGTTAGCCTATCGTGTGTCTACGCCTCAAGGTTGAATTGCTACCTTGAAAAAGATTTGACCATGCCGAGAGAATAATCTATTTAATATATCTGTCTGTCTATCTACTGCCTACCTGTCTGCTTACTTTAGATCATCTAACGTATAAATATCTTTCTCGTTTTGCTTTACTATTTTGCATACCATAGGTTTCTCCGTCAAATAAGAATTATTGCACATCGGCGTAAAGATTTATATTGGTTACAATGTTTACTTATTCAGATATTTTTTTTAATCGCTTATGATTTCTGTCACAAGCATGAAATGGTTTCGGCATAAAATGCGAATTGATTCTATGTGCATATGTTTTGTTTTTTTCGTCTTGTTAGTTGTTCATCTTTTTCTGGTTAAATCAATCATGACTACCTATTCCAGGGGAAAAAAAGTTTTGTTAACAACTCATCTCGGTATAATGTGAAGAAATGTAAGTATAAAACTCAGCAACTGTATGCAAGTACGTGCACTGAGCGATAAACTATACCTAAACTCTTAAGACCTTTTATTAAGGATATATATTGGCTAACAGTAGGATCCAAGACACGTATTTCATCCTATTTGGGATTCTTCAATTGGATTTACATGCATCATAGTGAGTGATATTGTCCCCAGTAAGATTCAGGAGTGATCGGTTCAAATACCAGAGCTCTATTCATCAGGTCACGATAGCCATTCCTTCCTTTTGCAACGGATGCAGTATAGTTTAAATATTAGGAGTTTGTCTAGCTAGTTGAACCTTGTGAAATGATCTTCCTAACAGTGACCTAATCGGTTGAATTTGGCTCACTTACACCAATGACTTGTACCTACAGTAACAGTACAACTGTACGAACAAACAGTAATTTGAAAACCTTAAAGGGAGTGTCGATGAAGATCAAAGGTAAAGTATTTGAATAGAAAAGGACTAATATACTTTAAGAATAAGTAAATCATGTTACGTAATATTAAGAAAATCTAAAGAAATATACTACTGACCGATTTGAGTAGTTAGAAACCACTCACATTGATTTGTAGATTACACCAGATAGGATGGCCATTTCTACTGTTTGAGGTCGAGCCCATCAATAGTATAACCGGACAAATTCATCTCATACAGCCGAATTATTGTCCACATCACATGGAATCTGGCTAGCTGACTTCAATAGACCGGTTTATCCTAAACAGGATAATCAGTTTGCAAATGATTTACAAATTGCGCGCCCCACCTTGGCATATTTTTTCAGGTGAGTAGTTTTTCAACTACAGTATGAACAGGGTTTCCGTTGAAAACCACCTCGTAGCCAAGATCCTAAGGTACGATTTCTGTTAAAACAGTGTCATGAAGTATGCGAGCGACTTTAAAGGCCACCCTAGCGACTGATGGAACAACCAATCACGTTTCTTCCCAGCCAAAATATCGTAACCTTATTGATTATTTTGGCAGTTGCTAGAGTGGCCTTTAAAGTCACTCCTAGTGAACAGTATGAGTAGACACTTGTGCACATAAGAAGATCAATTAGTAATTTATGACATTCATATACGAGTATGACTACTCTTACTAGTGTTATTATTATTATTTTCCCTTCGGTTCCTAGTGGAACATAGGGCTTCACTTGCACGTCTCCATTCCACTCTCTTCTCTGCAAACTTTTCAACCTGACTCCACGACTGCCCACAAGCTCTCATTTCTTCGTCACACGATCTCCTCCATGTCACCATCGCTTCGGATGCCCAACTCGTCGCTTCCCATCTGGGTTCCACTCGAGCAACTGACTGGCGCGTGATGTCTGTCCCCAGTCGGCCTTCTCAGTGTATGCAAAGTCTAATCCATCTCCACTCCCTTCTGCATATTTGTTCAGTGATAGGTTCTTGCTTCGTTGGTTCATTACCAGCCAGAGTTGCTTGTTGCTTATTCTCGTTATTCTGGCCATCTGATCTTGAGTATCTAGCCAGTGTAGGCAGTTGTTGATGAACGTCTTTAGTTTGTTGAAAATCCCTTTCATAATGTGCCAAGTCTCTGAACCATACAGAAGCACTGACTTGACTGATGTTGGTGTTGAAAATCTTGATCTTGTTCACGCTTTATGCTGAGTGCAGAATATGTACACACTGGTTTCAGGTTAATGAACGCCTGATTTTGACGTCCTCATCTGTGCCGCCTGTAGTTGAAACAGTGCTTCTAGATAGGTGAAGGAGGTTACTTCCTTTAGTTTCTCCCGTTGATGGTGATTGGAGCTTGTTGTTGATTGTGTTGTTGGTTGGATATCTTCATCACAGCATATTAAAATTCTTATTGGTCTCTACAGAAAAGCATTAGAGATGAGGAGATTATCTGAGAAAGTAAGCTGAACTTTTCGAAGTCGGTGATTGTAGTTAAGGTTTACTCTAACCATGAAGGTATAAACGTTGAGTATGAACTGTAAGTCAAACTTTTGTAAAACAAAATCACATCCTAAATTCCAATTTGTTATATTCTTAAATGGTAACAAATGGAATCCTCATTAGCTTAAAGATACCATCAGATAACTCGTTGCCCTATTTAAGCATCATTTAAAGATCATACTGGGTGAAGATTGAAAGTGGAATGAGAATTTGGACCATGGCTAGTTTTGAACCATTGACCATTGGGTTTCTGGCCTGGTGCTCTACAAACTGTAGACCAGATTTTCATTTCACTTCAATCAGCAAGGGTTTTATTTGACTACCATATGAATTCGTGACGCGTTACTACCACTTGATCGTATTCACTTCTTATCTCAATCCAGATGTAACTGAATTAGAGAGAGGCAGCATCATGTTGATTAACACTTAGATTATCTGAGATAGCTGTGCTTTGACAGATTTGAATTAGGATGAGGAGTCCTGACTAGGTAACCAGTGTGAATACGATCAAGTGGTAGTAACGCATCACGAATTCACATGGTAGTCCGGCAAAATCCATGGTGATTGAAGTGAAATGAAAATCTGGTCAGCAGTTGGTACAGCTTAAGGCCGGATGCCCAGTGGTCGCTAGTTCAAATCTTGGCTGAAGTCCAAATTTTTATTTCACCTTCAATCATTACTCAGTATAAATACCTGCCTGCCAAACCACAGCTATCTCACTCAAATAGTCAAAATGATTTAAAGACCAGTCGAATTCATCATCCAGTTAATCTATGCAATCAATTTTCAACTTCAAAACATCAGACATCGATTATTGAAATTTCAGAAAAACACTCCCACTCCCATAGTCTTCGAAATAGTGGTTTTTGAATACGGGACATAATAACTGACACATACATTTACGAGATGTGCAATGAATGGTGGGTGATTGGGGGGTAACTAATTTGATGTTAACTGTTTCCAAACGCTGATGTGATACTGTTGATCATTTTGCAATGTAACCATCAAGTTAGGTAGTTCAGCATCATGGTGGACCTGAGTGACATGAGTTAGTTGGAAGGAGCAGGCTCTGGCAGACCTCCGTTTCGGGCCTGCCGAAAATCGTTAGTAAGGCGTATCTACAATCTCGAAGAAACTAATATCTCCTGCGGGATTCGGACCCGCGCCGCTCAGTTTTTTAGTCAGTGACGTTACCAATTAGCTGTTTTACTCACGATCAGGTTCTCTGATTAGTAGCAAGAGAGTAAGCAGATTGCAGATATGCCTTACTGACCAGCAGTAACAAGCATTAAGC